CGCCTGCTGCTGGTAGTGGTACGGCTGGTGCTGTCCGTACACTTTGCTGCTGCTGCTGCTGCTGCTGATGTTGATGCTGATGCTGCTGTTGGTGTTGGTGCTGCCATGGCAACACCCGCGGCAGAAACACACGCATCCCCCCCTGCCCTTGCCTCTCTGCCCGCCGCTGCTCCCCCCTCTCCCCTTTCTCCCCCCTCTCCCTTCCGCCTCCTCCCCTCCTCTCCTCTCTTCCTCTCACTCCCTTCCCCGCCTCTTCCCCTCCCTTCCCCAACCCTTCCGCGTTGCTCCCACGGCTGGCGCAGCCTCCCCCGTCACCATTCCCCCCCTGCTGCGCAAACTCCAGCACGCGCACCACCCGCGGAATTCCCCCGTCGCCAGCCATTTCCCCCCCAAACCCTCCGCCGAAACTCCTTCCTTCCGCCCCGCAGACCCCATCCCCCTCCGCGCGCCTACCCGCCATTCCGCTCTCCGCCGCGCCGTCCGCGCGCTCGTCCGCGCTTCCCCGGAGTAACTCCCCCTCGCGCTCCCCGCCTGCCTTTCCGCGCTGCCCGTCTGCCGCGTCCGCATCCCCGCGCGCCGTTCCGCTGCCATCCGCGCGGACCCCGTCACTGGCGCAGGAGCGGGGGGCGCGCGCAATGGAGACAGGCGGGGACGACTGGTGCGAAGATGGCGGTGCCGGCGGAGGTGCGGGGAGCAGCGCCGCTTTGACGCGGATGGGGGAGCGATGCCGATGGTGCGCCCGCGCGGGGGCATCCGCGCAAGGTCGCGCGAGGGGATGCCCCTGCGCGGCGGCGTGCGCCAGCGCGGCGGCGTGCGCGTGCGCGGAAGCATGGTGCTGCTTGTGGTGGTGCGCGGAGACGCGCGAGATGGCGGAGGGGACGGCGGCGGGGGAGATGAGCGGAAGATACGTGGGGCCGGGGGGCGAGAGCGGGTAGGGGTTGAAGGGCGTGCATGCGACCTCCGCCGCGAAATGCAGCACCTCGTCCACGACCTGGGGCAGGGGGAAGGGGGCGGGAGGGGTGCGGGAGGGGGGCGGGAGGGGGGCGGGAGGGGTGCGGGAGGGGGGCGGGAGGGGAGAAGTGGAGGGGGGAGAAGGGGATTTGAACACGCATATTGTTTGTAGTTTGGGTGCGAAATGAAGCACCTCGTCCGCGACCTGGGGAAGGGGAGAGGGGGGAGGGAGGAGGGAGGAGGGAGGGAGCGGGGATGAGAGGGGGTGCGCGAAAAGGTAGAGAAGGGGGAAAGAGTAAGGGGAGAGGGGGGTGAGATGAGGGTTAGAAGGGGGGGGGGCGAGGGGGAAAAGAGCGGCAGCGGAGAGAGTGGAAGGAAGTGGGGAAAGATGGGTGAGGATGAGGGATGGGAAAGATTGGTCGGATGGGCAGAAAGCGCAGGACGTTGCAATTGCTCCTGAGTCTCAGCTCTTCCCCATTCCCTACCCCGCTTCTTACTCACTCCCTCTTCCCCTCACTCTGCCCCCACTCCCATTCCGCCTCTGCGCTTTCCCGTCTGCCCGTCCCCCTCCCCCTCTTTCCCTCCCCTCCCCCCTCCCGCGCGGCGTACCTTCCATTCGCGCCCGCAGTGGCATTTGGCCTGCGACCACAGCACGCGCGTCACCAGCTGCACCTCGCGCACCACGCGCTTCTGCTCCGCCACGTTCCCCGCGCCACCCGCGCCGCCCGCGCCCGCCGCGCCCGCCACCGGCGCGCGCGACGTCGGCGTCTGCTCCGCTCCACCCCCGCCCCCACCTCCGCCCCCGCCTCCCCCGCGCCCCTCCGCTCCCCTACCCTCCCCGCGCTGCTCCTCCTCCGCGCGCTCCGCGCGACGCTCCGCCATGACCGCCGCCGCCGCCGCCGCCGCGACCTGCCGCCGCTCGTCCAACTCCATTTCCATGAGCTGCTCTAGGTGCCAATCCAGCATTTCCAGCGCGTCTCTAATCGACATCAGCACGCGCGCCTCGACCGTGCGCTCCCCCGGAACGCCCTTGTCCGCCTGCCCGCCCTTGCGCGCAACCTCCGCCTGCTTCTCGTACGCGTGCTGGTATCCCAGCTGCTCGCACCCCTCGTAATCCTCCTCTGCCGCGCCTCCGCCTCCGCCGCCTCCAGCGGCGCACTTCGCTTCCGCCTCCTTCCGCGCTTGCCCCGCCGATGCCGCCAGCTCCGCGCGCGGGGGAGGCTCTTCTCCGCCTGTGCGCGCATCTTTGTCAGTCGCCCGCTCGCCGCTTTTCACGACGCCAACGCCGGCGGCGGCGTCGTCTGCGGCGGCTTCTGCGAGGCGAATCGCGTCGACCGACACGCTGCCCTTGCCCTCCGCGTGCCTGCGCTTACCACGTGGCGAACGGGTGGCGGGTGACGCGTGGCGAGCGACGGGTGACGGGGAGAAAGGAAGATGAGCAGTGGAGGGTGAGGGTAAGTGACAGCGGGGGGGAAAGCGCAAGGTCAAGGGCGTATGGCGGAGGACGGGTGACAGATCCCAGAAGGACATTCGAAAACTGGAAAAACGGGACGGAGGAATGATCCCAGCCGCCCGTTCTGAGCCCGATCGAAACGTTGTGCCACGGATCCGCACGGTCTCATCCTCTGGCCTTCGTGATTTTTTGTCTGGTCCCATTTCTGTGGCCATTGTTGTGCGGAGAGCTTAGAAAATAGCAGTGAAGCGTGCATGTGGAGTAGCGGTGTGGATGGCAGACGCTTTAAATCTCGCCGCAAAACACATCCGCCGCGGCAAAGGCGGCAGCACGCGCATCTGCCGCGCTGGGCACCCCCAGCGATGAGCAGCAGCGGGGGGTAGCGAGCGGGGAGCGGTGAGCGGTAAGAGGTAGGAGGTAGCCAGCCCAGCTCACCTGCGCGGATGTGCGGGCGTCTGCTCCTTTCTCCCGCCTCCGTGCTTGCCGCTCTTGTTGGGGAGCAGCTTCACCGACACTGATAGCTCGGGCACGTCGTGCAGCCTGGCGCGGGAGATGGGTGGGCAGCATCCGCATTATAAGATTGGTGAATGATTCAATGAATAATCCAATGAAGAACTGGAAAAAAAAAAACAAAAAACAATGAGAAAAATCCGCAGATTTAGCTACGTCGATGGCTCTGCAATGTCGTGAAGCCTGCGGCGGAAACGTGCGGGGAGGGGGAGACGGGGGAGGGGAAAGGAGGGGGGAAGGTGGGAGGGGAATGGGGGAGGTGATGAAAGGGGAAAACCAGGGGGAGAGGAGAGGAGGAGGGCCGACGGTGGAAGAAAAATCTGGAGGAACGCCACGGGGAGCGGGGAGCAGGGCTGCGGATGCAGTCCCGCGGCGCGCACGCGCTTCAGGTTTGAAAAGAATGGAAGGCCGCGAGAAGCATTATCCGATGGCTATCACCGACTTAGAGATTGTAAAAAAAGTTTTCGGAAGGTTCTCTGGTAGAAGAAATGATGAGCCGGGCTGCGTACCGTGGCTTGAGCTGGCCCGCGGCGAGGTAGAAATCGCTCTTTAGAATCCGCTCGATAGCGTCACTGACTTGCTCGTGCAGCTGCACGGCCCGTCGCACCATGGCGCCTAGATGCCGCTGCCCCATGGCTGCTTCGGCGCGTCGAAGACGCAGGCGAACCGTATTACAATCTGAAGCAGTCAAAGATATTTTCGTCGTGCGTTGCGATCATTCGCAAACTAGTGCTCGTATGACGCTCGTATGACGCTCTGTGAATGTACTACGAAAAGCGCTCCTCGTGCGTCGTTGACAAAAAAAAACGGTCGCATCTAACGAGGGCAGAAGAAGAGTGAGAGGGAGTGAGCCGGTGAGTTGTGGCCGTAATCTCGTCATGCAGAAGTGAAGCTCGCAGCTATTGAAGCATTCAAATTAGAAATCTAGGATCGAGTAAGGATGGGCTCTGTATGTCGTCGGGAATCCTTTGGGCTAAGACTGGGTGTTAGTTTTTGTGTCGTGTTGCGTATTGTGTCCCTTGGCGCGCTGTCAGGGCGGGATCAAATAACAGGAGTGTTGTGCGACGAGACGAGACTCGACGCCGAGGTGCCTGCGACGAATGAGGAGGAAGTAGGCGATGCGATCTGTTCAAACGGGATGTGGAGGGTGGGACGACGGCGAAGAGTGGATGGCAACGCATTGTTACGGCAAGAAGCAGGTAACTAGATATGTCGTAGCTACCCGTTTTGAGCGAGTTTTGCGTTACCGGCCATTTTCGCTTATGCGAAAGCTCCGCACGAAAACACGAAAATATATGCGATCTTTGCGACGGATGCAAAACCTGATTTGGACTACACCTCGACATTAGGGCGTGGAACATTTAGGCAATGTTCCGAACGAACTTATGTTGGAAAATTAACGCTCTAAACCGTATTGAATTCTACTTGAACAAATTGTTAAACAAATGAACCATTTTAAACCGTTATAACGGTACGGCTCGTTCGGTTTGTTTAGATGGATCAGATCGGGGAGGGAGTGTTCGAGCTCTGAACAAATCAAGAGTGTCGCACGGGGTCGATCATCGCGAATGTACGCGGACAGGGGGCTGTTCGTCAGCGCGTCATGACGTGGCGTGATTGGTGGGAAATTGAATGTAGGGCGGGAGCTGACAGTCAGGAGCAGCGTTGGGCTCAAATCTGCTGGACGTCTGACACATCGTCGAACCTCAGCAGTAAAGGACTCGCTACGACTGATGGAAGAGGATATTCATCTATTTATGTTGCATTATCAGACAGAGAATTGTCGAGAAACCAGACAACTATGTCCTGCCCAGTTTGCAGAACCAGACCCACCAAAAGGTCTTAGTAACACGCTACTGACGTTCAATCATATTGCCGGAAGCAAATGCTACTAACTTTGTAGACCATAACTGATTAGTTCTCTAGGTACACCAACACTTTCATTTAAGCCAATTGCATAGACTTGACAGAATGAAATGCATTTGCTAGCCATTGCCTTGCCTGAAGCCATAGCAGCAACTGTAGAACAAGCAATAAGCGAGTAAACGGCATCTGTTGGCTAAAACAGATCCGCAAGCCTCCGCATTTAACGGTAAGACTTCTGGTAGCGGGCGCGGGCACCACGACCACCGAACTTCTTGGGCTCGCAGCGGCGGGGGTCAGCAACGAGGAGCGTGCGGTCATAGCGCAACAACAGGTTCTTCAGCTCCCGCTTGGACTGCTCGTCCACATCTGCTCGTACATTAAAAAAAAAAAGTTGCAGCAGTTGAGTTCAAAGATATCAGAAATGGCAGAAAGAGCTTCAGGAGAAATGGCAGAAAGAGGATGTGCTGCACAACCTCACAGTTGCAAGCTCAACCCATGCACAACACATCCACAACCCCTGGATCCCACAACACACACCACCATTCATGCAACAACCAGAGACCACTGAAAAAAAAAACCAGTAGAGTCACGTACACTTCTGGTAGTAGGCAACGAGGGCCTTAGCAATGGCCTGACGGATGGCTGTGAAGGGATAGGGCACACAAGGAAAGAGAAGGGAATCAGCACAAATCGCAAGGACAATCACTGCAACAGCACAGATGAATAGAAAGCAAACAGGAATTGGATGCAAAAAGTTAGACTCCACAACTGACTGGTCTCAAACGGGAATTTAATTAGCTAAGCGCGACGCACCGTAGATCTGTGACACGTGTCCTCCTCCCTGCACGCGGATGCGGATGTCGACATTGGCGAACTTGTCCTTGCCCAGCACCGTCAAGGGCTCGAACGCCTTGGCGCGGAGAGTATCTGGCTCCACCAGCTCCAGCGGCGACCCTGCGAGCGGGGGGAGGCGGAGGGGGACGGAGGGGAGAGAGGACGGTTTTTTTTTTTGTTTAACTTGAAAGGGAGGAGGGGTAGATGGGGAGGGTGAGAGCGGGGGGGAGAGGCTTAGGAGGCAGGGAAGGGGATAAGCACGAATAAGGTAGGGGACTGCGAAAAAAAAAAAGCCCTAACAAGAGGGAAGCAGGGTGAATGTCGACACCTTTAGTTGTTATTTGCTACGGTTTCAAACTTGAGGACGCAGAACATAGGATGATGACGATGCAGAGCAAGCGGTAGCACTAACCGTTGAGGCGGATAAGACCCCTGCCCCTCTTGCAGTGAGCCACTGCCACTGCTGTCTTCTGCTCCCAGGAAACAAGCAGAGGGGAATGGAGACGGAGGGAGGCGTAGGAGGAACGGAAAGGCAAGGGAAGATTTGAGTATTGACATGATACAGCATGCAACTTCCAAGTGCAGGGTCAATTAATGTAAGCCCAAGGACGACCAATCAAGTCCGTTCCCAATGTCAGCCCCCTAGGTCAACGACTTAATGTGCGCTGACAATGGCACCTGCTACACAGTCGATCCGTGATCAACAACTTTCTCTGTGTTGGCCCGAATAACTACCGACTCAAAAACACGCTATCACAAATGTGTTTCAATTGTCGAGATTGAGTTGCAAGCAAGTTGTAACGAAAAGGAGGTGGAGAAATGAGATAGAGAAGGAGACGGGGCCGCACCTTGCGACCGAAACACTGCACCGACTGCAGAGACGCAGATGGGAGAAAACCCCAACAACGACCGAGAAACGCCGCACGAAAGAATCGAGTTTGAAAGAGAGGGGGACGGGGGGAAGGGAAAGGAACGGACGAAAGATGAGACATATGCTGAAAGAGCGGCAACAGTTCGAACGGGGAGGGACGCCAGAACTAGCCGAGAGTGGGGATGCGGCTAAAAAAAGGGTTAAAGCCGAGCGACAAGGGGAGCAGCGGCGGATTTGGGGACGGTTGGGGGGAGGAGGGTGTGCGGGATGGGGGAAAATGACAGGTCTATAACAAAATCAGGACAGATAAGAAAAACATAAGCACTGACGGATCAGCGGCAGTAACCAAATCGAGCAAACAGGCATCCAACGGGAGGCCAGATCAACTTGCGGGGAGGACCCACTATCGGAAAACGACAAAGCAGGCCGCGCTTAATCACCAGCGCAAGCGCAGAGCTGTACTAAAACAGCGCTCCGGAGGGAGGGCGTATTCAGCCATAAAATCTAACCTGCGACCCTACTCTATCTCGTTAACTATTCCATTCCATCGAAACAGCCTACTCCAATCTCAAGTGTTTACCCATCTCTATCCGACAAGACCGTTCCAATCCCTATCCGACCCCACTCCCACGACTGGCGTGTGCTTCTTCCTGAGAAGATTGCAACGGCACGAAGCGGAAATTCGTGGATGGCTAACGATCATCCCATTGCGTTCTCGTACAAACACCCGCGCATGCCCGCACTCCTTCGCGGACTCACGAGTCAGCTACAGCAGCATTCTGCTCCTAATAAGGATGTCTATCTCGAGTCGTGGATCCGGTCATGCAATGGCCCCACGACCATCACCGACACATAGCTTCACACGCATTGCTTCGACGAAGCCCATCTCCTCCTATTCTGACTGAAGGCACTAAAGAAGTCCCCTAAGCCAGAACGCGATTAGCTTGAAGGCAAAGATCAAGGCACTTCAAGGAAAAAAAAAAAAAAAAAAACAGAAACAAAGCCACTTCTCGCCTCCGCCAGAATGGAAATGCAACACAAGAAAACAAAACCAATAAAGTTATGGTTGATCAACAGCCCTCCTGCAACGATTGCCGCGTCCTCCCTCATCGCCATGCTAGTCAAGTTGCTCCGACAGCAATCTTAAGCTCTGTGGTGTCAGAACCGCTGCTCTAGACGAAACCCTAAAGCTGGGAAAACGGTTTGCGGCACCAGAAATTTCGAACGCAGTCAAGTCAACGAGAACCTAATCAAACCTACGACAGAACAAGATCATCCCTGGGTAAATCCTGTGCAGACTGACGCGATGCGGTTCGTACCTCCATGGCTGGCGACAAGCGAGGGCAGCCTGACGAAGAGAGCTGGGCGAGAGAGAAAGGAAGGAGAGAAAGAAAGCGCAACGCGAGGAGTAGAGGGAGGAAAGAGAGCGAGTGTGGGCGAAAAGTGGAGAGAAATGGTGAGGGGGGGAGGTGTTGAGGGCTGAAGGTGAGGGGATGAGGGAGGGGGGAGGGGAGGAGGGGGCGAGGGGGTGGGGGGGGAATGCGCGGGGCGCACACGGTCTGAGGTTGGGTGGGATGGCATGGGATGGAGGCTGTGGCAAACGAGGGCGGAATGTGTTTATCGCTGTGTGGGCCTGCCTGGTGGATCCCAAACCAAGGGTTTTGGTAAGCATTTTTGGGCTTCGAGAGTACCCTCGGGTGCGTCCAGCCCCAATAACAGCACATACCCATTGTGACATCTTCTGCATTTACTAAATAGAGCTTTGGAAACTTCCATTTCTGATGTGGGATTCGTGTCGAATCTGTAACATATATTGATTATAATAAATATTTAAGTGTTTCTCTACATTAATTTTATTTATGTGTCTTTTATTTGCCAATCTTCACAAGGATGGAAGCGATTGGCTTCAAGAGTGGGAAAAGAAGATGAGTTAATATTCTGCTAAAGAGTCCCTTGATAATGTGTACTTCCAGTCACCAGCTTATAGGCTGACGTGGCGTCATGTCCCAGCTACACATCAAATACGAATGCGACCTCGTGGCTCAGGGGCCACACGTTCCAGCATTGAGAAGGCTTGATCGGTGCGGGTCCTATGTCAGTCCGATGTCACATTTTTGGAAATACGCTGCGCTGGTGTGTGAGTGAATCCGTCGTAACCCACACTGGCTGACCCAGTCGTTTCTACCCACGCTGCCTAAACACAGATGGAGAATACGCCTTAGCTGCCAAGGCACAACGCAAGCACCATCAAACAACAAACAGGCTGCCTTTTGAGTCCAAACCAAATTCATATCCAAATCCACTGGGAGAGACTGAGACCAGTCCCAAGAGACAACAGCAATTGCAACCGCAATTGCGACAACCTCGTCGCTCGTTCGTCGTTTCAGGGGTGCGTGCTTGCCAGGCGACACAGCATCGGTATTTGTATTAACGACTGTGAGAAAGTGGAGACCGTTAGCTTGAAATTCCCTCCACGAACCCCACGGGAGCATGGCGGCGCGTTCCCTTGACTCTCCATTCTTTCGCTCCGTGGTCCCGCGTCGTGTTCCTTTCCCCGCTGACTGTTGCGCAACGGGAAGGGTCCCTGCTCCGCGACCAGCGCGTCCGCCTCCGCTTCTTCGTGGCCGACCCGACCGCTCCCTTGCGCGCCCCTGCACGGTCACCGCGGTCGGCCCAGCGCCTGTCGTTGCCGCGGTTTGGTTCGATGATGACGAGGACGATCCGCGGTTTGCGGGGTGGGAAGGTGGTAGTAGCGCAGGCCGACGGGCGGGGAGACGAGGGGGGAAGCGCGGAGAGAATGCGGAACAGGGGGGAGCGCGTGCGACAAGCAGGAAGAGGAAAGGCTCGAAGCGCGGTCTGGGAACCGGTACGGTCGACGTCAACAGTGGGGGAGAGCAGCAGGGCAGCAGAGCGAATGGGGTTGAAGGGATGAGGATGAATGGCAATACTCCCAGCACTATTAACACCCCCTTCCCTGGGGAGGCAGCCGTTCTAACGGTGCCTGCTACAGAGAGTGGAGTGCTTGCTGAGACTGCAACAGCGGCTGGTATCAGGGAAGCTGTGTCAACCCCAACCAGCACAGGTCAACTAGCAACCGCAGGATCAGCAGGAGCAGCAGGAGCAGGAGCAGGAGCAGGAGCAGGAGCAGCAGCAGGAGCAGGAGCAGGAGCAGGAGCAGGAGCAGGAGCAGCAGCAGCAGCAGCAGCAGGAGCAGGAGCAGGAGCAGGAGCAGCAGCAGGAGCAGGAGCAGGAGCAGCAGTAACCTCGTGGGTTGTGGGGGACGGAATGTCCTCGTCTGTTCCCCTGTCCTCTTCATTCGTGAAACCCCTCTCCACGCTCTACCCTCGTGTGCCCTGCCGCGTCTGCCAAGGTGGGGGTTCTGTCTGGGGGAGTGGGGGGAAAGGGGGGGATTGTGGTGGGAAGAAGGATTGCAGCTGAGAGAGTGTGGTGAAGTTGATGTGGGAAGAGGGTGGTAAAGAGAGGGGTAAGGGACTGGGTTGGAGAGAAGAGGGGACGAGCTTTGGAATTGGGAAAGGGGGAGGGAAGAAGATGTGGGGGTGGGGAGCATTGGCAGTGATTACCCTAGCATGCTTTCATGATATGCCAACACCACGCCTGGCTATTTATTTTGCTGCTGCTCACTTGGCCCAGCTGCTTTTCCTGCTTCGTCCTCCCCTCTACCCCCTCTTCCTCCAATCCGTTCCCATCCTCTCCCCTTCTTCTGTACCAGATACTAAGCTTGTAGAGTGTGCGTGTTGTGATGGCGTTGGCACCCTGGCCCGCGGAGGCTTTCAGAAAAAAAACCCAGTCTCAGTTTCAAGAATCATAGGTAAAGGAGAGTCAAGAGGCGTCACATGTATAGCATAGCGGTCGCTACTTTCACCGCAGTTGCGCAATCGCATGTCTAGGTGTGCATGCAGTGCTTTGCAGTATCAAGGCTGGATGTTTCCGCTAATTTTGCTTTAGCCCCGCTCATGGCAAGAGTCCCGGGTATCCCCCACCCACCAGCCAATGGGTGTTTGTTTCCGCTAGGAAATATTAAGCGGCAAAACTTCAAATGCAGTTTCTCCTTTGATCCTTCAGTGTTGCACTACCCTGCTGAAACCGTTCTCCTTCAGGGTCCAAGTGGACAGCCATGGTGCGCACGCATGGTTGGCATCACTTTAGAGTGGAATCCAAGAGAAGGATGGGTGACACTGTTGCGGGGAGGCGCAGAGGTGCAGGAATGGGTGAAGCTGAGATGCCTGCAGGGAATGCTGATGTGGATGGGGCTGGCAATCCAATTATTTTCTGGAAGGCTTCTGGCTATTCTGCTTCCAGCTCTGGACCAGGAGCCAGGGTTGACTGGTTTGTGGAGATGGTGGCAACATGTGACCCTAGCACTCGAGTTTGGGTGAATGCACACAGCCTTAAGGTGAGTGGGTTGGAGGTATGCCAAGAGGTTCGCATCCTCCTGGTAAGATGATGTAAGTTGAGGTCCGTTTTTGTTCTCCTGGTTAGAATCCTTAATTATTGCTAGCGTAGTGTTTTTTTGTCACATTAGCATGCTGCTTTTACACCTGCTCGACCCTTACAGTATGCTGCATGCTACAGGGAATGGCATGTCAGTTACTAGCATTCACAAAATCTTGCCTTCACATCATCACCTTCATTTCCACTTCTCTTTTCATCGCCCGCCCACCTCTTCCGTTTCAGGATCGAAGACATTGGGCCATGGGCTGGCTGCAGAAGGAGGAACTGCGGGCTTTGGATGCATTCAACGCACAGGTTTCAAGCCCTGGCCCAGGATCAGGAGTAGATGGAGGGAGCATTGATGGGCTCTCAAAACGTCTGGTGTGCAAGGCATGTCAAGGACAAGGCAAAGTTGCCTGTCCCAGATGCAAAGAGCTGGCAGAGATGAAGGAAAAGGAGAGAGAGCGACGCAGAAATGAAGGTGGAAGCGATAACTTTGATGATGACTTTGAAGGTGATGGATTGTTGGAAATTATCCAGATTTGACATGACATGTGTCAATAGCAGCCAGGGGCCATCCAAGTGCTGTTTGCTAGTCGTGGTAAATTGACAAGCTTCTTCAGAAAGCAGGTGTTGTATTGTTCCCTCTAAATACATTAATTTTACTTTTGGAAAACGTTGGTAGATTAGCCTGTGCCTTGTCCAGCCAGCCAGCCAGTCTTCAGGATGCTCTGTCGCTCCCTTCTAGCTCTCAATCATAGCACGCAAGATCATGCTCAAGCTTTCTCCTCCTCGTCTCCAAATCCTGCAGGTGTTGAGCGTAAGAAAAGTCCTGCATGATGGAAGCAATACAATGTGCAATAATCCCACCTCTATTTCCTTCTTCGCCTCTTCCTTTTTCTCCTTTTCTTTCTGGATGTCCTTCTTCAGTTGACCAACGCACACTATCCCCTGCCATTGGAACATGAGAACGCAAGTCTCACAAATGGATACTTGGTGCGGAATTCACCTACCCCGCAGAAATGGAGTATTCCACAAACAAGGAGAAGCCAAATTGCTCCATTGTCAAATATTTTTTCAAATATAGACTTGCTGCAGGCCCTTGTTATGGCCTTTGTCAGAATAGCAACGCTGCGAATGACAGATTGGCGTTCAGGTTGACAGAAGCGAGGTCAAATCGTATGGTTGATCGAACCCTTACAATCCTTGCAGCATTCCCCTTGCTGTCCAGAACTTCAAGATCTGAGAACGCGGTGCCGGGTTATTGTTTGTTACAGAAACTTTGAAAGGGCACTCTTCTGAATTCCTTACCTCCATGGACTTCGTGACTATTTCCAAATCTGCTTCCAACAACGCAGAAGCAAGAGACAACACAATTCCATATGCTTGCAACAGCACAAGGAAAACCTGAAGTAGGCGCAGTCAGTGTACGAAGGTGGTGCTCGAGAAACGTTAAGGTAGAGTAAGCACGTACATTTACTCCAGGAGGAATAGCGCTGATGACCATCGAGATGCTATTGACAACGGCACAGGCAACAGATGATATTGCCGTTATGACTGATAGAACAGTACAAACTGTCATAAAGACCTGCCGTTCGGATATTTGTTTGGCTTTTTTTGGAGGTTTTTCATGTTGAGGAGCTGCGACGGCCAGGTCTGCGTCCTCAACAGAAAGTCTGGTGTCCTCGCGTGGGCTCAATGGCGGACTAATGTCATTCCTGAAAATAATATCATAAGCGTACATCCTATCAAGTAGAGGTGAAACGCAATGACGGAACCATACATTGGTACTACAGGAGTCTCCATTGGTTTGGGACTGGTGATGTCAGGATGGAGAACAAATGGTACGATACGCTTTCGCTAGTGTTGAAAAAGCAGAAGACTGCCTTCGGGATTCTGAAGGCGAGAAGTTATGTTCGAACGGATCATTATTAGATTAGACAGACTGACATCCGGAATGACATCCGGAATACAACACTATCACCTCGACAAAATGGAATGCCTGCCTGTACACAAGCTCTAGTCGAAGCCGCGATTTTGCCACCTGTGGTGCACAAGGTTGGTGCAAGAAAATGGTGCGTGTGCAGAATAGCTCAATAACGGATTTGTTGGACTTGCAAAAAACTGGACAAATAAATTCACCAACATATTATTTAAACAGCATAAGCCAGGGTCATGACTCATCAGGACCTTGCTTTTGTGCAATTCTAAAAATACTCATTATTGCCAAAAGTTACAAAGACAGATTACTCATGGCAGATCTTTCTCCATGCAGAAGAAAACACACGCCAATCAAACATCTTCGGAAACTACCTAACAAACAATCTTCAGTCCTACACCTAGTTATTGCCAGACCTTCCAGCCTTAGCATCAATTGCTGCTGCCGCAGCAGCTGCTGCCGCATGAGCCATACCCGATCTCCCTTCAAACGATTTCCCCCCACTTGCTCCACCTTCCCCATCCGACCCCCTCCTCCCTCCCCCACCCCTCTCCTCGCCATCTCCACCCTCATCTCCCCCTACCAACCTCTCAGAACCCCCTCCACCTCGCCTTCCCCATCACCCTCCCCATCTCCTCCCAGCGCATCTGTCCCTTCAAACCCAGCCGGCACTGGCTTAGTGGCCACAAGAATGCGCTCCGGGCTTTTCTTGGTCTCTGGGGGGAAGAAGGCGAGAGACCACTGGGCAGCTCTAGCTGCCTGTGCCACCACGGCCAGAGGCCCAGGCTGATCGCGCACAATGACAGTGCCCCCTGGGCGGAGGAGTCGGTCCATTTCCAGAACTATGTCTGCAATCTCACAGCGCTCCCTTTGGGGTGCAGCGAGGGTGCAGGGATGGTGCCGAGGGGGGGTGCGGGACAGTAATGGGAGGGTGTGGGAAGGGTGATGGGAGGAAGAGGAGGAGGCAGTTGAGGGGGGCGGGGGGAGAGGAAGGGAAAAAAGACACAGAGGTGAAGCCTTGGAATTCCATAAGGATAAATATATTGACTGACACGGTGGTTTATTTCCAAAGATACAGCTGTCTGCAGTTCCATAGTGCAGCAGGTTTTGGTTCGTGCGGTTCGCTGATCATTTCAAGCAGGCCATGTACTTGAATGCATGTTGTGCCAGTGCGGGTAGACGGGTGTGAAGAGTGGGTGGGGAATTGAGTGAGTGTGAGAGCATGAGCGTGAGAATGAGGGTGAGAGTGAGAGTGGAGGGATTTACCTGGAGGGCATGAGAGGCGCAGTGGAGAGCAGGTGAATGAGGTCGTAGGTGCGAGGGTACGATGAGAAGGACTCACACCTGGGGACACATGCATGCACCGGGCAGGGGTGCAGGGGAGGAAGGGGGGGAAGGCGAGGTAGGGTCAGCAGGAGAAGGGGAAGAAACGGAAAAGCAATGAGTGGGAGGTGACACAAGGGGGCATTGATCCAGTCAGTTACACAAGGGGGTCATTGATCAGTTCCCCTTCATCCCCTGGTGGGGAAAGCATCACGCTCGACCGACATCACACTGACCAGCTACTGGAACCATCTCCCTTCAAACATCAACAACGCCATGCAATAATGCCTCTTGCTGTTCTCGCCATGACTGTTACTGTCCTGACCCTCCCCCCCCGTTACCCTCCAACCAACCAAGGAACAGGCGAATCAAGAAGACGGTCATGCTCACCAGTCATGCACAGTCCCCACAAGCCCACGGTCATAGATAGCAGGAAGGGTGTTGGGCCCAGTACTAGGCACCACATTCATCACCCACACTGGAGACACCCCCCCTCCCTGCTGCTCCTCCTGCTGTTGCTGCAACTCCCTCCCCCTCCCCATCCCCCTCCCCATCTCCCTCTCCCTCTCGGCCTTCAGTTGCTCGTCCTCCAATGCCGCTGCCAGCCCCCCGATCCCCGCGTTCATATCCAGCACGTTTCGAACACGCCCTGAGGAGAGCAGCGGCCCGAGAAAGAGCTTCTGGTAGTGCAGCAACCGCTTGCGCCACCGCTTGCGCTCCAGAGACAGTAGCTTGAACTGCTCCGTCTCCCCCCCTCCTCCACCGCCGCCGCCCCCGCTGCTTCCCCCTCACGTTCGTCGTCGACTGAAAGCAACAGCCGGCGCTGGGGGTTGTTGCTGCTGTCCCTGCGGCCTTCCCTTGATCCCCCTCCCCCTCCTCCCCCGCCTTCCCGGTCCTCTTCTGTGTCATCTTCTTTGCCTCCCTGAGCTAGAATCCCGTCCACCACCACTTTCACTGCTCCTGCGCTTGCCAGCTCCACTCTCCCCACTACGTTCCTGTTGTCGTCACCCTCTCCCCCGTCCCCTGCTCCCGCTCCGCCCCCACCGCGACCACCCTCCTCCTCCCCTCTCTCTCCAATCAAACCAGGCCTATCCAACCCCCCACCACTACCACCACCACCACCAGCACCAGAAACAGCAGATGAAGCAGAGGAGGAGGAAGCAGAGGAAGTCTTGCCGTTCTCAGAGGACTCAGCAAGCCAGTCGGAGAGAGAGGCTTTGGAGGAGGCAGGGAGAGCGAGTTGCACGCGGGGGGAGGGTGTGTGCAAGCGAAGGGGCCAGGGAGGGGTGGGCCAGGAGGGGGGCGCGGAGGGGACTGCACACGGTTGTAGCTTCACATACCTGGTGGTGCAGGGGAGAGGTGAAAGGGAAGGGCAGGGAAAAGGGGGGTGTGCGCGGGGGGGAGGGGAGGGGAGGGGGAGAGAGTGGAAGAGGGGGAAGAGACGGCAGAGGGTTGGAGGGGGGAGGGGGGGTGGAGGAGGGTATGGGCAGGGAGAGAGTAGAAAATATCAGATGTTAGGTACGGCACACACGGATAAAAAGCAAGGCTTGAATGCCATCCAATCCACTCACTCACGTACCCTTCCCTTCCGCCCAGCCCCCTCCCTCCCTCCTCGGCCTCCTCTCACAACCCACCCCCTTTCCCATCCACTCCACGCACCATCAGGAAACCCCACTCCCTCCCATTCTCCAACCCCTGCCATACCAAGCATCATCGGGATCAAGAGCAGGCGAGCAGAGGGGCACGTTGCCCCCTCCCCCCTCCACGCCCACGCGGCACGTGTCGCCTCCCAGCTTGCGCCACACGGCCACGTTCCCCACGGTCTTGAGCAGCTCCCAGCACAGCGCCTTGCCCAGCAGGCGCAGCCGCTTCCACTCCGCGATCTTGCCCCGCCACGCCACCGGCTGCCCTGCCAGGATGAACACGCCGTTGGGACGCAGCAGACGGTCCACCTCATACACATGCGTGGAGTCTGGGAGGGGGAAGGGGAGATGGAGAGTGAGGGGAATGAGGACACGGGGGACTGGGGATGAGGATGCCGAAAGGGGAGGGGAGCGTGGGGCGAGGGGAGAGCAAAAGTGCAGACGGCAAGTAGGCAGGTGGAGCGAATCTCCATTCCAGGCGCAGGCGCTTCCACTCGGCGATCTTGCCGCGCCACGCCACGGGCTGTCCTGCCAGGATGAAGACGCCGTTGGGACGCAGGAGCCGGTCCACCTCATACACATGCGTGGAGTCTGGTGGGGGAGGGAGGGGGAAGGAGTGGGGAGGGAGGCGGGCAGAGGAGGAGACTGGTGAGTTGACTGAAGCCCACGGGCGGCCTGACAGGATGAAGACGCCGTTGGGGCACGAGAGCCGGTCCACTTCGACACGTGCGCTGAGTCTGGGGAGACAGAGGGAGGGGAGGGAAGGAAGGGGGAGGAGAGGCTGTTGAGTCGACTGAAGCCGCACCTTCCAGGTGCCCCACACGGCCACGCCACGGGCTGCCCTGCCAGGATGAACACACCGTTGGGACGGAGGAGCCGGTCCACCTCATACACGTGCGTGGAGTCTGGGAGAGGCAAGGGCAGGGGAGGGAGTGGGGGGACCGGGTGAGGCAACTGAAGTCCAAGGGTTGCCCTGCCAGGATGAACACGCCGTTGGGGCGCAGCAGGCAATCCACCTCGTAACCCGTTGGGGTGTTGAGTACAACCGTACCTATTTCACCCATAACCTTCATGCTTTCTCCCTTGCCCTTCCTATCTCCTCCTTCACCCTCCCCCCTCTTGCTCCCCCCCCCCCCACCCCCATCCTACCCTCCACTCTTTTCCGACGCGGCGCCTCCCCTTCCCTTTTAATCCCAACTCACTCTCGTCCCCGAACGAAGCAGAGCAGCGGGAGCAGTGGATCAGATCAAAGGAGCGCGCGGGGAAGGGCAGGCGGTGCGTGGCGAGCAGCCCAATCATGGCAGGCAGGCCCCGCTCCAAGGCGAATTGGATCTGGGCGCGGTAGGAGTCCTTGGGGGCGATGGACATGGTCAGCACGCCATAGTCCAGCAGAGCCGCTCCGAAGCTCGCAACCTGCGTGGGGCGGGGCCGCAAGGGGGGTCGGGGGAGAGAGTGGGTGGGGAGATGGATACGGGGCCAAGGGAAAGGGTGTTGGGTGGGTGTGAACCAACCATCTGTCAAGGCCAAGGGAAAGGGTGTTGGGTGGGTGTGAACCAACCATCTGTCAAGGCCAAGGGAAAGGGTGTTGGGTGGGTGTGAACCAACCATCTGTCAAGGCCAAGGGAAAGGGTGTTGGGTGGGTGTGAACCAACCATCTGTCAAGGCCAAGGGAAAGGGTGTTGGGTGGGTGTGAACCAACCATCTGTCAAGGCCAAGGGGAAGGGCCATTCCTCACGTCTCGCACTACCATCTTCCTTACCTAACCTGACCTGACCTGACCTGACCCTATCTATCCACCACCACACCAAGAGCGCTCTGGCAAGCCATGCCCATACCACCTTAACTTAACCACACTCCCTCGTACCCCTACCCCTGTCCAATCTCCGCTTTCCATTCCCTCACCCCTCACTCTTCCCCCCTTCCCCAATCCCCCCTCCTCTCCCCCTCATTCCTCTCTCTCCCATCACCTCCTCCTGTCCCCCTTCCTCCTCTTCCTGGCGCACCCCTCCCCCTCCCTCCCTCCCGCGCACTCACCCCGGAGCCGATATCCAACGCTGTGCGCACATTCGGGCCCAGCTCTACGATCTGCCGCAGGTGGTACAGATAACCCTCCACGCCGTCAGGGAACATGGACCCGCCGCCGGGGAAGTGCCACCTGTCGCCCTTGCGCGCCATCCAGTTCTTGTTGCGCTTGTTGTCCGCGATCGTCGTGTGCGGCACGTTGCGGAACCACACCTGGGGGGGGAGGGAGCGGGGAAGGGGGAGGGGGAGGGGGAAGTCGGGAAGGGGAGAGGGACAGCGAGGGGAAGCTTTGATTGCGCTTGTTGTCGGCGGTCGTCGAGTGCAGCACATTGCGGAACCACACATACGCGGTGGGGGGTGGAAGGGGGGAGGTGGGAGGGGGAGAAAATGGGAGGGGGAAAAGGACAGGGAGGGGAAAGTATATGTTGCGCTTACTCCCGCGATCGTGGCCGGGGGCACGATGTGGAACCCTACACTTGCGTCGAGAGACGGAGGGCGATATGGAACGGGAAAGGTAAAGGTAACGGAAAAGATAACAAGAAGGGAAACTCGCAGATCGAGTGACCAGTGAGAGTCGCACTGTTCGCCAATTAGTCACGCGATGACTCAGACATTGACGACAAGAGGGGGAGACGACAAGAGGGGGAGACGACAAGAGGGGGAGACGACAAGAGGGGGAGACGACAAGAGGGGGAGACGACAAGAGGGGGAGACGACAAGAGGGGGAGACGACAAGAGGGGGAGACGACAAGAGGGGAGACGACAAGAGGGGGAGACGACAAGAGGGGGAGACGACAAGAGGGGGAGACGAGAACGAAGCACTTGAGAGATTCCTGCAAGGACGAAATTAACGAGTACATACCGAACGGAATCAACCGAGAAATGGACCAAACTAAGGGGGATTGGTACCAAAAGAAACGGACGGGGAAAGGCAAGGGAGAAACTGCCGGATTACGTGCGAACGATCAGAAGACGGAAATAGGAGGTGGTGGACGATACAATCAAGCGCTAAATGCGAGGAAAACGATACACGAAAATGCACTTCCGCCGCGCTCCAAACCGAAACCCTAATGTATTACGCCGTCTTGATCTCTGAGACAAATCGCAATCTCACGCGCGCCGGCTAGAATCCACGTACCCAGTCGCGGCTTTCAGGCCATGGTATCGGTCGGCGGTAGCCCAGCGGCGCCGGCACCAGGCACCGTCGCCGATTCGATTTCCCGGGGCAATGCCGTTCGCGAAACTCGTTGTTTTCGCGAGGGTAGAGGATGGCGATTTTCGGGTCATAGCAGGGGAGGTGATTGGTCCAGTTGGAAGGGCACGGCGGAAAGGCTTGCATCGGCGCGAGCGTCGGTACTCCCGACGTGGCCGCTTTAAGCATGGAGACGCCTTGATTCGTAAGGCCGTCGCCGAGCGGAGTGAAAACGCAGAGGACAACGAATGCGAGGAACGCGAGGATGGTGACGGTGAAGATGTTCAACAGCCGCTTCTGCCGCTGCTGGAGCTTCGTTAACTGGGGAGGTCGAGGCGGCATGGCTGGCCGCATTTTTGAAAACAAAGAACACGAAATAAGACAGGCGTGAGGGACACCACGATTGAAGAAGGAACGTTGTGAAACAGCTCAGTCCATCAGCGGTAATGCAAATGTCAATGCGAGGCCACGAGTAAGAATAGCGCAGCTGGTGGTGAGGCAAGGTATCGCCAGCGATTGCTATGCTACAAGGACGGATCGGACGCGAAAATGGTTCAAGGACGAGACAGAACTAGGGCACCTAATTACCGCTGAGGTTTGGCACAGCAATTCTCGTTCAGTGCAGCTAACCGCAACTCCTGCTGTAGTCACTTTGGCAGTGCAAACTACGTACCAGTAGCTCCTGTGCGATAAGCAGTCAAAATTTCTTAGAACGAGATTATTTGTCGTTGCAAGGTGTTACGAGTGGCACAAAACATTTCAACCTGTTTTTCTGTTGTTCAGAGAGGTGAACAGCCCACCACCACCACCCACACTCGAGCATCGATGTTGGGTGGTGCTGCACATCCAGCCAGAGAAAAGGTCTTCCGATGAGGCAACAACAACCGTACGAGATGAAATTTGAACCGTTTCATAATCCTTCGTGTACCGTTCTTCCTTCCTCATGCGACAGTGGTTGGTGGACAATGGAAAGGCCCGTGATGTTGCGACCAGCCCAACGTTGTGAATATGACGGCGAGAGTTGACAGCTCAGTTTCGCCAGCGCTAAGTCGTTACCAGTTTCGTAATGACATGCTGACTGTCGCAGCACACTTGGCACTCCATTGATTCGACAGCATTCACAGGTGAAGGCGGCTGGTGCTGCAACGAAAACTGTACCCAGTACGAGTACCAGAAGCTCATTTGAGATTTGGGACATCATTTAAAGCCCGAGGTCAGCATGGCAAAGCGTTTTTTGTTTCTAGGGTTTTAACACTAGCTGGAAGAGTAGCGAGAACTGTTTTCGTTGAGAGTACCCTGGCGAAGCAAAACACATGTTCGCCACACGTGTTTTTATTCGACAAAAGGCGATTTGGCGACCAAGCTTGCGACCCATCAGATTTGGCGCTGTTGCAGCTAACAACTCATTCAGTCGCTTTAGAATCCGACCATCGCACACCAGCTAGGGTTTTTTGGTGAACACAATTCAGACGACTTGAATTAGTAGGTGCAGCGCGTATATGCAAACGAAGGGAAGCGCAGGCGCAAGATGCGAGTGTGAAGCACGGAGAAAATGGGTGTGAGGAGAAGAGAAAGGGCCGCTTTGCCTACCTCGCGACCCTCGCCCGTCGCCCTTGCTTTCTCCGCCCACCGCCCTCGCCCCGCCCGTCGCCCTCGCTGCCTCCCCGCCCGTCGCCCTCGCTTCCTCCGCCCGCCCTCCCTTCCTCCGCCCGCGCTCGCTAATCCCATCCCGTCGACCTCGCTTCCCTCGCCCATCCCCCTCGCTTCCCCCGCCCATCCCCCTCGCTTCCCCCGCCCGTCGCTCTCGCTTTCCCCGCCTACCACACTCGCCTCGCCCTTCGCCCTCGCCGCCTCCCCGCCCGTCGCCCTCGCTTCCTCCGCTCATCTACCTCGCTTTCCCCCGCCCGTCGCCCTCGCTTCCTCCGCTCATCTACCTCGCTTTCCCCCGCCCGTCGCCCTCACTTCCCCGCCCCATCGCTCGCCCCTTCAATCGCTGCTGCTTCCTTTTTGCAGAGGCCACTATCCCCCTTCTCACTCTCCGTTTTCAGTCGCATCTCCCAATCCGCCCACGTCGCAACTTGCATTCCTGCCTCATGTCGTTCTCACTGCTCAGTTTCTACCGCAGTTTGCGCTCAGTCTCCCCCCCTCCTCACACCCCAGACTACACCCAAATTTCCCCCTTGATTGCGCTCGGTTTCCCCCCCTAATTGCGCTCAGTTGTCCCCCTGATTGCGCTCAGATTCCCCCCCTGATTGCGCTCAGATTTCCCCCCTTATTGCGCTCAGTTTCCCCCCCTGATTGCGCTCAGTTCCCCCCTTGATTGCGCTCAAATTTCCCCCTCGGATTGCGCTCAGTTTCCCCCCTGATAGCGCTCAGTTTCCTTCATAAATGTCCTCCGGCATCCCCCTTCGTACCCTCCCCCCTTTCCTATCACTCCTTCACCTTCTCCCCTCTCTTTCTATCTCTGTCGATCCCCCCCCCTCTCTTTCCCTCATGTCCCCCCTCCAACCCCATATTCCTTTCCCTCCTTGCCCTCATGTTCCCCTGTCCCCCCCCCTTGGTTCCCCTGTTTCCCCCCCTGGTCCCCCTGTCCTCCTCTCTCCCCCCTATCCCCTTCCCTGCTTCCCCATGTCCCCTTCCCTGCTTCCCCCCATCCCCTTCCCTGCTTCCCCCCATCCCCTTCCCTGCTTCCCCCCATCCCCCGCCCTGCTCCCCCCATCCCCTTCCCTGCTTCCCCCCATCCCCTTCCCTGCTTCCCCCCATCCCCTTCCCTGCTTCCCCCCATCCCCTTCCCTGCTTCCCCCCATCCCCTTCCCTGCTTCCCCCCATCCCCTTCCCTGCTTCCCCCCATCCCCTTCCCTGCTTCCCCCCATCCCCTTCCCTGCTTCCCCCCATCCCCTTCCCTGCTTCCCCCCATCCCCTTCCCTGCTTCCCCCCATCCCCTTCCCTGCTTCCCCCCATCCCCTTCCCTGCTTCCCCCCATCCCCTTCCCTGCTTCCCCCCATCCCCTTCCCTGCTTCCCCCCATCCGCTGTCCTGCTTCCCCCCATCCCCTTCCCTGCTTCCCCCCATCCCCTTCCCTGCTTCCCCCCATCCCCTTCCCTGCTTCCCCCCATCCCCTTCCCTGCTTCCCCCCATCCCCTTCCCTGCTTCCCCCCATCCCCTTCCCTGCTTCCCCCCATCCCCTTCCCTGCTTCCCCCCATCCCCTTCCCTGCTTCCCCCCATCCTCCGCTCGCCTCGCCGCGCCTCCGCTCACCTCGCCGCACCTCCGCTCGCCGCGCCGCGCCTCCACTCCCCATGCCTCCCCATGCCTCCCCAGCCTCCCCATGCCTCCCCATGCCTCCCCATGCCTCCCCATGCCTCCCCGTGCCTCCCCGTGCCTCCCCGTGCCTCCCCGTGCCTCCCCATGCCTCCCCATGCCTCCCCAGCCTCCCCGTGCCTCCCCGTGCCTCCCCATGCCTCCCCATGCCTCCCCATGCCTCCCCGTGCCTCCCCGTGCCTCCCCGTGCCTCCTCGTGCCTCCCCGTGCCTCCCCGTGCCTCCCCGTGCCTCCCCATGCCTCCCCATGCCTCCCCATGCCTCCCCATGCCTCCCCGTGCCTCCCCGTGCCTCCCCGTGCCTCCCCATGCCTCCCCATGCCTCCCCGTGCCTCCCCGTGCCTCCCCGTGCCTCCTCGTGCCTCCCCAGCCTCCCCGTGCCTCCCCGTGCCTCCCCGTGCCTCCCCATGCCTCCCCATGCCTCCCCATGCCTCCCCATGCCTCCCCATGCCTCCCCATGCCTCCCCGTGCCTCCCCGTGCCTCCCCATGCCTCCCCATGCCTCCCCATGCCTCCCCATGCCTCCCCGTGCCTCCCCGTGCCTCCCCGTGCCTCCCCATGCCTCCCCATGCCTCCCCATGCCTCCCCATGCCTCCCCGTGCCTCCCCGTGCCTCCCCGTGCCTCCCCATGCCTCCCCAGCCTCCCCGTGCCTCCCCGTGCCTCCCCGTGCCTCCCCGTGCCTCCCCGTGCCTCCCCATGCCTCCCCATGCCTCCCCGTGCCTCCCCGTGCCTCCCCGTGCCTCCTCGTGCCTCCCCAGCCTCCCCGTGCCTCCCCGTGCCTCCCCGTGCCTCCCCATGCCTCCCCATGCCTCCCCATGCCTCCCCGTGCCTCCCCGTGCCTCCCCGTGCCTCCCTGTGCCTCCCCATGCCTCCCCATGCCTCCCCGTGCCTCCCCGTGCCTCCCCGTGCCTCCTCGTGCCTCCCCAGCCTCCCCATGCCTCCCCGTGCCTCCCCATGCCTCCCCATGCCTCCCCATGCCTCCCCATGCCTCCCCATGCCTCCCCGTGCCTCCCCGTGCCTCCCCGTGCCTCCCCGTGCCTCCCCATGCCTCCCCATGCCTCCCCATGCCTCCCCATGCCTCCCCATGCCTCCCCGTGCCTCCCCGTGCCTCCCCGTGCCTCCCCATGCCTCCCCATGCCTCCCCGTGCCTCCCCATGCCTCCCCGTGCCTCCCCGTGCCTCCCCATGCCTCCCCATGCCTCCCCATGCCTCCCCGTGCCTCCCCGTGCCTCCCCGTGCCTCCCCGTGCCTCCCCATGCCTCCCCAGCCTCCCCGTGCCTCCCCGTGCCTCCCCGTGCCTCCCCGTGCCTCCCCATGCCTCCCCATGCCTCCCCATGCCTCCCCGTGCCTCCCCGTGCCTCCTCGTGCCTCCCCAGCCTCCCCGTGCCTCCCCGTGCCTCCCCGTGCCTCCCCATGCCTCCCCATGCCTCCCCATGCCTCCCCGTGCCTCCCCGTGCCTCCCCGTGCCTCCCCGTGCCTCCCCGTGCCTCCCCGTGCCTCCCCATGCCTCCCCATGCCTCCCCATGCCTCCCCGTGCCTCCCGTGCCTCCCCAGCCTCCCCATGCCTCCCCGTGCCTCCCCATGCCTCCCCATGCCTCCCCATGCCTCCCCATGCCTCCCCATGCCTCCCCATGCCTCCCCGTGCCTCCCCGTGCCTCCCCATGCCTCCCCATGCCTCCCCATGCCTCCCCAGCCTCCCCATGCCTCCCCGTGCCTCCCCGTGCCTCCCCATGCCTCCCCATGCCTCCCCATGCCTCCCCATGCCTCCCCATGCCTCCCCATGCCTCCCCGTGCCTCCCCGTGCCTCCCCGTGCCTCCCCATGCCTCCCCATGCCTCCCCATGCCTCCCCGTGCCTCCCCGTGCCTCCCCGTGCCTCCCCGTGCCTCCCCGTGCCTCCCCATGCCTCCCCATGCCTCCCCATGCCTCCCCGTGCCTCCCCGTGCCTCCTCGTGCCTCCCCAGCCTCCCCATGCCTCCCCGTGCCTCCCCGTGCCTCCCCATGCCTCCCCGTGCCTCCCCGTGCCTCCCCATGCCTCCCCATGCCTCCCCATGCCTCCCCATGCCTTCCCATGCCTCCCCATGCCTCCCCATGCCTCCTCATGCCTCCCTCCTTGCACCCCCTGCACCGCCTGCATCCCCTCTTGCCCCCATCAGGTGGTGGACGAGGCGGACCGGCTGCTGCGCCAGTGCTACCACGACTGGCTGCCGCTCACCCTCGCCGCCGTCGCCGCTGCCCCTTCCGGTGCCACTGCTGCCATGTCAGCAGTCGCCGGCATGCATGCTGAGGTGGCAGTGAGCGTGCCGGTTCTGTGCGGCGTCATGCACATACATGGCAGTGGCAGCGTGAACGGTGTTCTCCCCACTCCATTCATTCACGGCCTGCAATCTCTGTGGGCCCTAGACGGTCACCACATGCTGCTGTGCTACTTACACACCTATGTACATTCTTTGCTCTCACTTCATCTCTTATTACGGTATTTGTGAGAATCCTCGTCTGTTACCTCAGAAGTGCTGCACTCACACAGGCCAATTGCATTAAAAAAAACGTCAGCAGCAACAGCAATAGGGTTTGTATTCATCTGTTGCATCACGAAGAAGAGGGCAGGTCAACACTGAGATATGGGCATACACAATACACCCCTTATACCACTAGTAGACCCCCCTGTACCTATAAACCTCCAGCGCATAACATAGCACGATCCACAAGTCGCTCCCTACGGTCAGATAACCCCGGCTTCTTCAGGTACCTAGGGAGCATCTCTAACAGCCGCTAGAGTGCTCTAAGAGTGCCTCTGGCGTGCTGGCCGGCGAGAGACTGCCATGGTCACGACTTGCAAGCACTGCAATGTGCAGCACCAGTTGAGGCATGCAAAATGAACCCGCCTTATGATCCGGCACTGCAGCATGTGGGTCTAGGATATAGACAAACAGCAACATGGCCTGGCTTTCCCTGCACCGCTCTGCACTCCCCCAGCCCACAGCAACGCAGCCCAGCCTTGACGTGCGCTGCCGCCAGCATTACTGCCGTCCTGCCTTCCCCTCCTGCATCAACGCTCCGCGGCATCCTGCTGACACTGCCAGTCCCCATATCCTGCCACAGCCCCTGCCTGCCTTCACCCTGTGCTTGCCTTTCCCCCTTCCTCCCACACCACGCCACACTGACCATGCCGCACAGCAAACTCCCTTACCCCTGCCCTATGATCCAACTTCAACTCCTTGCCTGCATAGTGTTGGCCGTCAGGCAGAGCAGCTTCCAAGTATGGGGCAGCAGGGGAGGCTGAAGGCAGTCTCGACAGGAGGCTGCCTCACAGTTCCACCAGAAGAGAAGCCATCTCGCAGAACCCGCCGAAGTGCGGAGTGGGCAGGTACCACTCCGTAAGCGGTGTGGCGGTGGCGGGTTCGTCTCCGGGCAGATCCAGTCAAAGATCTGCTGGATGTGGTGCTTTGATGGTCTGCCGCGCAGAAGAAGAGGAGCAAGGAAGGGGATGGGGGGAAGCAGGGAAGGGGATGGGGGGAAGCAGGGAAGGGGATGGGGGGAAGCAGGGAAGGGGATGGGGGGAAGCAGGGAAGGGGATGGGGGGAAGCAGGGAAGGGGATGGGGGGAAGCAGGGAAGGGGATGGGGGGAAGCAGGGAAGGGGATGGGGGGAAGCAGGGAAGGGGATGGGGGGAAGCAGGGAAGGGGATGGGGGGAAGCAGGGAAGGGGATGGGGGGAAGCAGGGAAGGGGATGGGGGGAAGCAGGGAAGGGGATGGGGGGAAGCAGGGAAGGGGATGGGGGGAAGCAGGGAAGGGGATGGGGGGAAGCAGGGAAGGGGATGGGGGGAAGCAGGGAAGGGGATGGGGGGAAGCAGGGAAGGGGATGGGGGGAAGCAGGGAAGGGGATGGGGGGAAGCAGGGAAGGGGATGGGGGGAAGCAGGGAAGGGGATGGGGGGAAGCAGGGAAGGGGATAGGGGGAAGCAGGGAAGGGAATGGGGGAAGCAGGGAAGGGGATGGGGGGGAGCAGGGAATGGGATGGGCGGAAGCAGGGAGCGGGATGGGGGGAAGCAGGGAAGGGGATGGGGGGAAGCAGGGAAGGGGATGGGGGGAAGCAGGGAAGGGGATGGGGGGAAGCAGGGAAGGGGATGGGGGGAAGCAGGGAAGGGGATGGGGGGAAGCAGGGAAGGGGATGGGGGGAAGCAGGGAAGGGGATGGGGGGAAGCAGGGAAGGGGATGGGGGGAAGCAGGGAAGGGGATGGGGGGAAGCAGGGAAGGGGATGGGGGGAAGCAGGGAAGGGGATGGGGGGAAGCAGGGAAGGGGATGGGGGGAAGCAGGGAAGGGGATGGGGGGAAGCAGGGGATGGGATGGGCGGAAGCAGGGGATGGGATGGGGGGAAGCAGGGAAGGGGATGGGGGGAAGCAGGGAAGGGGATGGGGGGAAGCAGGGAAGGGGATGGGGGGAAGCAGGGAAGGGGATGGGGGGAAGCAGGGAAGGGGATGGGGGGAAGCAGGGAAGGGGATGGGGGGAAGCAGGGAAGGGGATGGGGGGAAGCAGGGAAGGGGATGGGGGGAAGCAGGGAAGGGGATGGGGGGAAGCAGGGAAGGGGATGGGGGGAAGCAGGGAAGGGGATGGGGGGAAGCAGGGAAGGGGATGGGGGGGAGCAGGGAATGGGATGGGCGGAAGCAGGGAGCGGGATGGGGGGAAGCAGGGAAGGGGATGGGGGGAAGCAGGGAAGGGGATGGGGGGAAGCAGGGAAGGGGATGGGGGGAAGCAGGGAAGGGGATGGGGGGAAGCAGGGAAGGGGATGGGGGGAAGCAGGGAAGGGGATGGGGGGAAGCAGGGAAGGGGATGGGGGGAAGCAGGGAAGGGGATGGGGGGAAGCAGGGAAGGGGATGGGGGGAAGCAGGGAAGGGGATGGGGGGAAGCAGGGAAGGGGATGGGGGGAAGCAGGGGATGGGATGGGCGGAAGCAGGGGATGGGATGGGGGGAAGCAGGGAAGGGGATGGGGGGAAGCAGGGAAGGGGATGGGGGGAAGCAGGGAAGGGGATGGGGGGAAGCAGGGAAGGGGATGGGGGGAAGCAGGGAAGGGGATGGGGGGAAGCAGGGAAGGGGATGGGGGGAAGCAGGGAAGGGGATGGGGGGAAGCAGGGAAGGGGATGGGGGGAAGCAGGGAAGGGGATGGGGGGAAGCAGGGAAGGGGATGGGGGGAAGCAGGGAAGGGGATGGGGGGAAGCAGGGAAGGGGATGGGGGGGAGCAGGGAATGGGATGGGCGGAAGCAGGGAGCGGGATGGGGGGAAGCAGGGAAGGGGATGGGGGGAAGCAGGGAAGGGGATGGGGGGAAGCAGGGAAGGGGATGGGGGGAAGCAGGGAAGGGGATGGGGGGAAGCAGGGAAGGGGATGGGGGGAAGCAGGGAAGGGGATGGGGGGAAGCAGGGAAGGGGATGGGGGGAAGCAGGGAAGGGGATGGGGGGAAGCAGGGAAGGGGATGGGGGGAAGCAGGGAAGGGGATGGGGGGAAGCAGGGAAGGGGATGGGGGGAAGCAGGGAAGGGGATGGGGGGAAGCAGGGAAGGGGATGGGGGGAAGCAGGGAAGGGGATGGGGGGAAGCAGGGAAGGGGATGGGGGGAAGCAGGGAAGGGGATGGGGGGAAGCAGGGAAGGGGATAGGGGAAGGGAAGCAGGGAAGGGGATGGGGGGAAGCAGGGAAGGGGATGGGGGGGAGCAGGGAATGGGATGGGCGGAAGCAGGGAGCGGGATGGGGGGAAGCAGGGAAGGGGATGGGGGGAAGCAGGGAAGGGGATGGGGGGAAGCAGGGAAGGGGATGGGGGGAAGCAGGGAAGGGGATGGGGGGAAGCAGGGAAGGGGATGGGGGGAAGCAGGGAAGGGGATGGGGGGAAGCAGGGAAGGGGATGGGGGGAAGCAGGGAAGGGGATGGGGGGAAGCAGGGAAGGGGATGGGGGGAAGCAGGGAAGGGGATGGGGGGAAGCAGGGAAGGGGATGGGGGGAAGCAGGGAAGGGGATGGGGGGAAGCAGGGGATGGGATGGGCGGAAGCAGGGGATGGGATGGGGGGAAGCAGGGAAGGGGATGGGGGGAAGCAGGGAAGGGGATGGGGGGAAGCAGGGAAGGGGATGGGGGGAAGCAGGGAAGGGGATGGGGGGAAGCAGGGAAGGGGATGGGGGGAAGCAGGGAAGGGGATGGGGGGAAGCAGGGAAGGGGATGGGGGGAAGCAGGGAAGGGGATGGGGGGAAGCAGGGAAGGGGATGGGGGGAAGCAGGGAAGGGGATGGGGGGAAGCAGGGAAGGGGATGGGGGGAAGCAGGGAAGGGGATGGGGGGGAGCAGGGAATGGGATGGGCGGAAGCAGGGAGCGGGATGGGGGGAAGCAGGGAAGGGGATGGGGGGAAGCAGGGAAGGGGATGGGGGGAAGCAGGGAAGGGGATGGGGGGAAGCAGGGAAGGGGATGGGGGGAAGCAGGGAAGGGGATGGGGGGAAGCAGGGAAGGGGATGGGGGGAAGCAGGGAAGGGGATGGGGGGAAGCAGGGAAGGGGATGGGGGGAAGCAGGGAAGGGGATGGGGGGAAGCAGGGAAGGGGATGGGGGGAAGCAGGGAAGGGGATGGGGGGAAGCAGGGAAGGGGATGGGGGGAAGCAGGGAAGGGGATGGGGGGAAGCAGGGAAGGGGATGGGGGGAAGCAGGGAAGGGGATGGGGGGAAGCAGGGAAGGGGATGGGGGGAAGCAGGGAAGGGGATGGGGGGAAGCAGGGAAGGGGATGGGGGGGAGCAGGGAATGGGATGGGCGGAAGCAGGGAGCGGGATGGGGGGAAGCAGGGAAGGGGATGGGGGGAAGCAGGGAAGGGGATGGGGGGAAGCAGGGAAGGGGATGGGGGGAAGCAGGGAAGGGGATGGGGGGAAGCAGGGAAGGGGATGGGGGGAAGCAGGGAAGGGGATGGGGGGAAGCAGGGAAGGGGATGGGGGGGAGCAGGGAATGGGATGGGCGGAAGCAGAGAATGGGATGGGGGGAAGCAGGGAAGGGGATGGGGGGAAGCAGGGAAGGGGATGGGGGGGAGCAGGGAATGGGATGGGCGGAAGCAGAGAATGGGATGGGGGGAAGCAGGGAAGGGGATGGGGGGAAGCAGGGAAGGGGATGGGGGGAAGCAGGGAAGGGGATGGGGGGAAGCAGGGAAGGGGATGGGGGGAAGCAGGGAAGGGGATGGGGGGAAGCAGGGAAGGGGATGGGGGGAAGCAGGGAAGGGGATGGGGGGAAGCAGGGAAGGGGATGGGGGGAAGCAGGGAAGGGGATGGGGGGAAGCAGGGAAGGGGATGGGGGGAAGCAGGGAAGGGGATGGGGGGAAGCAGGGAAGGGGATGGGGGGAAGCAGGGAAGGGGATGGGGGGAAGCAGGGAAGGGGATGGGGGGAAGCAGGGAAGGGGATGGGGGGAAGCAGGGAAGGGGATGGGGGGAGCAGGGAATGGGATGGGCGGAAGCAGGGAGCGGGATGGGGGGAAGCAGGGAAGGGGATGGGGGGAAGCAGGGAAGGGGATGGGGGGAAGCAGGGAAGGGGATGGGGGGAAGCAGGGAAGGGGATGGGGGGAAGCAGGGAAGGGGATGGGGGGAAGCAGGGAAGGGGATGGGGGGAAGCAGGGAAGGGGATGGGGGGAAGCAGGGAAGGGGATGGGGGGAAGCAGGGAAGGGGATGGGGGGAAGCAGGGAAGGGGATGGGGGGAAGCAGGGAAGGGGATGGGGGGAAGCAGGGAAGGGGATGGGGGGAAGCAGGGAAGGGGATGGGGGGAAGCAGGGAAGGGGATGGGGGGAAGCAGGGAAGGGGATGGGGGGAAGCAGGGAAGGGGATGGGGGGGAGCAGGGAATGGGATGGGCGGAAGCAGGGAGCGGGATGGGGGGAAGCAGGGAAGGGGATGGGGGGAAGCAGGGAAGGGTGACAAGTGTGCGCGAACAGAAGGGAAACGAGAGGGATGGCGAGGGCGACGGGGAGAGAGGAAGACGGGGATGCGAGGGGACGAGCGGGAGGAAGGTCGACGAGACGAAGGGAATGCTACGGGCGGAAGGGGGAGCGACGGGCGGAAGGGGGCGACGCGCGGAAGGGAGGGCGACGGGCGGAAGGGAAGGTGACGGCGGAAGGGAGGGCGACGGCGGAAGTGAGTGCGACGGGCGGAAGGGAAGGTGACGGGCGGAAGGGATGGCGACGGCGGAAGGGAGGGTGACGGGCGGAAGGCATGGCGACGGCGGAAGTGAGTGCGACGGGCGGAAGGGAAGGTGACGGCGGAAGGGAGGGCGACGGCGGAAGTGAGTGCGACGAGCGCTAGGGAGAGCGACGGGCAGTAGGGCGACGGCGGGAGGAAGTTTTATGGGCGTAAGAGGGTGCGACGGGTGCGTCGAACGTACCTGTGAGGCTAGGGCCCGTTCCGTGCGCTTCGAACGTAACATGCGAGCTCCATCGACCCTGGGCGTGACGGGTGACGTTTTTCTTGTTGCTGGCTAATATTATTTTCGTTGGGGAGGAAAACCGTCAGACTGCTGCAAGGTTCTAGACATCACGCCGCCATTGTCTGAAAGCGATATTACGCGCTCTTGTGGTCTAGAAAAGCGGAGCGCACTACGTGTGCTAGACTCAATATGGCTGCACGTAAGTACAACTTGGTTTTCAAGTTTACTGAGGGTGAACAGTGGACCAACTCCCGTTGACACTTCATGTGGAATACTTTTTTTTTGTCGCTGGCCAATCATGCATCAGAGTTGTGAAGGAAACTCTCACTTTGGGTGGTAACCTGGTTTTTGGCGAGTTCATATTCAAGAATCTTGAATTTGAAAAATGCCATGTGGAACTCGGGCTTTAACAAAATCCATGAAAGAGAATCAATAACTTGAAAAAGAACGCACCCGCAAAAGGTTACAAACCCAAAATGGTGTTATGAGTTGTGAAAGAAGAGTGCGCGGAATGCAATAACGTCGAAGTGATTACAACGTCTGCCCAAATAATGAGGCATAACACTAATATGGCAGGGCTAGCAAGGCGACGGTCGTGGAGTCGCGAGATGGTTGGGTCCATGTTCGAGGTTGGGGAACCCGAAGGCGACGCGGTGGTGGTTCGGAAGGCGAGGTCGTCGGACCAAGCCTGTTCTCCGAAAACCGGAGTTGTACGCGTACAATGTGACCCAGTAAGGAATCACGGAAAATTCCTTACACTACCCCCTCCCCCCCCCCCCCCCCTTTTAAAGAAGGTGGTGTATATCCGGGACGCCCCGGCGGGTCAGGTGAGCATCCACAACCGGATGTCCTTGTAGCGAGTCAGCTGCGATCCTCACTCGTGCGATCCTTCTAGCGAAGCAGGAAGATGACTTTGCCTCCAGCAGTCGTCAGATCCACTTGGTCAGGTCGGAGCAGTTGGTGCAAATCAGCTGCTCCATGGTCTGCGGGTGATGAGACGACGAAAACTGCAGGCGGGTGCCGTACTGTGCCCAGGTCTCCAGCCAAAATTTCGACGTGAATTTCGGGTCTCAATCGCTGATGATCGTCGAAAGTAACCCGTCTAGTCGCACGACGGTGGAGATGAAGAGTTTCACGGTGTCTTCAGCTGTGATCGTCGTACGGCATGGTGCGAAATGCGCCATATTTTCGTCAATCTGTCAACGACGACCAACACCGAGTCGCTGCCACTTGCGAAAGCTGGAAGCCCTGTGACGAAATCCATCGTTACGTGTTGCCACGGTCGTTCGAATGGCTCGAGGGTTACAACAATCCGGTCGGCCGTTGTCGCGACGACTTCATTGCTTGGCAGGTCGGGCATGTTGTCACGTAGCGCTGCACGTCCATCAGCATGTCGGGCCAATAGTAGTTCCGCTGCACCAGCTGGAGTGTTTTGTCGATGCCGAAATGTCCGGAAAGGTTGGAGTCGTGTACCTCCTGCATCAGCAATTCCCGTAAGAGCTGAGAGGCGGGTACCCAAATCCGGTTTGTGTTGGCTTTTGGGTAATAGTTGCCGCGTCGTAGCCCGTCAGTAAAGATTCTTGGAAATATTGTCGATCTTGTATCTGTGGGTGAATAGTCCGGTCAGAATCGGGTTGGTGTGGGCAATTAGTACTGCAGCTGTTTGCATGGATGGGCGGGTGCCATGTTAGAAACTAGAGACAGGAATGACTTGAATTGAAACAGAGTTGGGTACATATCCTAACCCTAACATTGGGTTGTACCCTTTATGGGCTACCCCACTACAGCCTACACAAGTATATAACATATACAGTTTGACACACCCCCATAGGCAAAGTGGGGGAGAACAAGGGGTCACAAGACCAGTCAAGAAACGCAAAACAAGCTCAGGGTGGATCACAACGTCACCACACACACTGAGCACAAGCAAAGGGCCACAAGGCCAGTCCAGAGAGAGAGAGAGAGAGAGCGAGAGAGAGAGAGAGAGAGAGAGAGAGAGAGAGAGAGAGAGAGAGAGAGAGAGAGAGAGAGAGAGAGAGAGAGAGAGAGAGAGAGAGAGAGAGAGAGAGAGATATATATATATATATATATATGTATATATATATATGCAACAAGAGCAGTACAGTGATCAATACCTAGCAAGAGCAAGCATGCAGGTATAAATATAGAGCACAGTACACACAAAGGCTACAGCAAGTGTGGAAACGTAGGCACAAGGCCTAACAAAGTACAAAAGCGCTGATGATCACCAAACGGAAGTGCCTTGGTGAATATATTAGCAGTGTTGGCCCGAGTGGCCACGTGTGCAAGACGAAGCTGACCACGCTGCTGCAACTCTCGAGCCAGGAAGTAACGCAGAGCGATGTGCTTCGTTATCGGTCAGCAGGTAGGTGAGCCAGCGTAACTCCTGAGCAGCCATGGCGGTGGCGTAGATCTCAGCCTCACAACTGGAGCTGAGAACAGAAGACGAGCGAGTAGAACGCCAAGAAACAGAACCAGAGCCAAGGCTGAAAGTGTAACCCTGTGACGACCGCTGCGTAGCCTGGTCGTCAACCCAAGAAGCGTCTAAGTGCCCAGTGAGGACCACGTCTCTCCACCCTCCAAGCACGAGCCCCATGCCCGATGTACTGCACAAGTAACGCAGTACCCTCTTCGCAGCATCCATGTGCACCTTTCGGTGCCGACCAGGAGCCACGTAGCGTGCCAGAAGGCCAAGAGGGTACGCGAGGTCAGGACGAGTGCAGGTCATCAGGTACATGAGGCAGCCCACTAACTCCGGGTAAGGACCACTCGGCTCTACGGACTCGTCTGAAGGTGGAGCTGAGAGCGAGTAACCTGTAGCCAGAGGAGTGGACTATGGCGAGGACCAGGTGAAGCCGAAGCGCTGAAGGACCTGCTGCATCATGTGTGACTGAGTCAGAGTGATGGTGCGGCGTGCTCTGTCCCGGGTGATCTGCAAGCCAAGGTAACTGCGCAACTCACCCAGGTCTGTGCACGTGTGTCTCTTCTGCAGCTCCGACTTCACCAGGGCGAGAGCCTCAGTGTCAGTGTCGTCGACGTACACGAGGATGTAGAATGGCGGCAGCGAAGTGTCGGTGCGCAGGAACAGTGACGGGTCAGCAGTCGAAGGAGCAAACCCAAGAGCCGCAAGTGTCGTCCTAAGTGTGTCGTGCCACTCACGAGGCGCCTGGCGGAGACCGTAGACTGGCCGCCGGAGGCTCCACTGGGTACCAGGAGGGAACGACCCAGTAAAGCCAGGTGGGCGGCGCAGCCAGATCTCCTCGTGCAGGCTGCCCTGTAAGAAGGTTGTGCTGAAGTCCAGCGAGTGAAACTCGTAGTCACGCTGAGCGGCAACGTGCAGCAGCACCCGAAGAGTGGTCATCTTCGGGGTGGGGGAGAAGGTCTGGAAGAAGTCGACTCCCTCTCGCTGACTGAAGCCTCGAGCAACGTAACGAGCCTTGAAGACAGGCGGAGAACCCGGCGGCCGCTTCACCCTGAAAATCCACATGCCATCGACGATGTTCGCCCCGGGAGGGGGAACGTCATCGAAGTAAGTGCCTGTGGACTTCCAGGATGCCATCTCTGCGTCCATGGCTGTCTCCCACTGAGAGGAGTACTCACCCGCGATCGCCTCAGCGTAAGAGCGCAGGGTCGGGATGTCTACAGCATCCGGGTCTCCCTTAGGGGCAAGCAGCATGGCCACGAGATGAGGCGCAGCAGCTGCAAGACACTCAAGGTCCTCGCGCCTGTCCTCAAGGACGTCCGTGCCAAGAGCACACTCACCCCCGACGGACGGAGGACAAACAGACTCAGACTCAGCAACAAGACTAGCAGCGCAGTCTAGACGACAGGCAGCAGCAAAGTCAACAAGCTCAGCGACCAGGGCAGACGCAGCAGCAGACTCAAACGACGGGTCAGTGACAACAGTGGCTAGCAGACGCGTGACAGTAGGGTGCTCAGCACGAAACCGGTCAGACTCAGGGTCCGCGACGTCAGGCAAAGAGGACGCAGGGGGAGACGGAAGAGGAGTACACTCTGGAGTAGGGGACCGACGCAGGGCTACAAGGCGTGTGCCGGGGACAGCCGGCTGACGCGGACGAGGAACACGACGACCGGTACGACCAGGACGAACAGGCGAGACAGGACGCGACGTAGGCTCACGACGCTCAGCAAGACCCCCTGCCTGCTCAGTGTAAGGAGAAGGAGCAGGCAGCGGTGAGCCAGGCTGTAACAGAAGACCAGTAGACGACGGGAGACTAAGAACCTGGCGAAGCACCGAGTCAGGCGGTGGCTGAGACGACGGAGACGGTGGAGCAAAGAACAGGCGCGGCTGTGCAGTGCCACCAGCACCAGCAGCTCCAGCAGCTCCAGCAGCTCCAGCACCTCCAGAAGCTCCAGAAACCTCAGCACCAGCTCCTCCAGAACCAGCTCCACCAGCAGCAGCACCCACAGAACCTACACCCCCAGTCCCAGGGTCTCCAACCGCAGTGTCTCCAGCAGCAGCACCCGCAGGCTCAGCACCTCCAGCCCCAGCAGCTCCAGTACCCCCAGTACGAGCACCGCCGGGACCAGCACCACTCCCAGCTCCAGTGACGGCAGCAGAAGTACCTCCAGGAGCAGAGCCCCTAGCTCCAGAAGCGCGACCCTGACGGCGACCGTACCAGTCGTGCAGCTGCTGTGAGGTGAGAGGCACACGCGGACGAAGGCGGCTACTCCAAGGAGACCGCGCAACAGCAGACTCAGAACCCTCAGCGCCAGCACCCCCAACAGCTCCAGAACCTCCAGTGCCAGCACCCTCAGCGCCAGCACCCTCAGCAGCTCCAGCGCCACCAGCACCAGGACCTCCAGCAGCTCCAGAACCTCCAGCGCTCGCACCCTCAGCAGCCCCAGAACCACCAGCTCCAGCGCCACCAGCACCAGGACCTCCAGCAGCTCCAGAACCTCCAGCGCCCGCACCCTCAGCAGCCGCAGAGCCTCCAGTAGAAACAGCTCCAGGAGCAGAGTCACCAGC